GCCGGAGGGCGACCCGCTGGTCAGGCCAGGATGTGCTGGGGGACACTGGGGACACCAGGTGCCACAGCTGCACTCCTCCCAGGATGGCCGAGGTGCCCCTCGAGGACACGAAGGACCGTTATTACCAGCTGCCCATCGCCAGGGAGAACGTCCACTTCCTGGCCTCGTGGGCGGACCTGGCCAGGCACCAGGAGGAGCTCCTGCAGGTGGGTCACCGGCTGCGGGTTGCTCGTCAAGGCCGCGGGCCTCTGTCCACGCCAGCACCCACCGTGCTCAGCCGTCCACCCTGCCTCGTGCGCTGGCGCTCCACACGGCAGGGCACTCCTGCTCGCGGGCCAGTTTATGGGCTTGGCCCCTTCTGTGCCGAGTGAGGGGCAGCCCCGCTTGGTGGGCGCTCACAGGGTGGTCAGGCTCCCGGCAGAGGCCTGGCCCTGAGCCCTGAGCTCTCGGGGGCTGGGTAGGCTGGCTGTGCTTCCAGCCCCGGCCGCGCCCGCTCAGGCCAGCCCCTCTCTGCAGCCCGGCCAGGTGGTCGGCGTGGACCTGGAGTGGAGGCCCTCCTTCAGCGCAGGGGACCGACCCCAAGCGTCACTCATGCAGGTGGCCGTGGAGGGCCGCGTGTTCCTGCTGGACCTGCCCGCGCTCTCACAGCCGGCAGACGGGCAGGCGGCCCAGGCGTTCTCAAGGCTGGTGTCCCAGCTGCTCTCCGACCCATCCATCACCAAGCTGGGTGAGCGCAGCCCCGCCTGCCCATCCCTGCCCGCCCCGGGGAGGGTACTGGGGGAGTCGGGGCCCCTTCTCTGGGTGCCCATCACCCAGTGGCCCCTGCCCACAGGTTATGGGATGGCAGGGGACCTGAAGAGCCTGGGGGCCTCCTGCCCCGCCCTGGCCCACGTTCAGAAGCAACTGCAGGGAGGCCTGGACCTGCTGCAGGTGCACAGGCAGGTCAGCAGGGCGGGGCCCACACAGGCTCAGTGTCTGTCCTCTCAGTGCCTTCCCGGCCCCAGCCCTGCTCCCTGACCACAGGTGCCCAGGGGCTAGACTGCAGAGTCCCCCAGAGGATGGCAGTGCAGGTGCCCACAACTTTCCCAGAACCGGCCCTGCTCTGGGCTCCTCTCGGGAGCTCTCAGCACGAACCCTGGGAGTTAAGACATCAGCCAACCATAGGGCTGACCAGTGGGCGGTGACCATGGCCCTGAGACCCTGGCACAGCCAGCCTTGGCCGTCCATGCCCTTCTGTCCCTGCCCTGACCACAGTGGAACACAGGGCCTTCCCTGAGCCCCCAGGCGGGGTAGCAAAGGTGTGGGCGGTGGCCGTCCTCCCCTAGGGCAGGCCTCACCCTGAGGGCACTGTCGTGGCAGATTCGGGTGGCCAACGTGCCTGCCCCGGGCGTGGAAGGGGCTCGGGAGCCACGGGGCCTCAGCCTCCTGGTGCAGCAGGTGCTGGGCAAGCCCCTGGACAAGACCCAGCAGCTCTCCAACTGGGACCGGCGGCCCCTGGCTGAGGGGCAGCTGCTGTACGCAGGTGTGTGCCCCTGCCCGCCCCCTGCCCCCGTGCTGCCCACAGGCCTGCCCCGCCCCGGGCAGGAGGCTAAGGTCGGCTCCTGCCCACCCAGCTGCCGATGTCTACTGCCTGCTGGAGGTGTACTGGGCGCTGTGCAGAGAGCCCGCCCGCTTCCGCCTGTCGCAGGACCTGGCCAGGAGCCCGAGGCCAGGACACAGCCAGAGATCTGGGGCTCCAGGGCCACCCAGCCCACAGGAGGCCTCGGCCCCGGCCCCACAGGTGACTGGAGTCCCCCGGGTGTCCCTTCATAGGATTCTTGGGAAGGAGAATTGCTGTCCCTAAAATGGGGACCTTGCACGGGCCGAGGCCTGGGGTGGGGAGGCTTGGGCTCCTCCACCTAGACCCTCCCCCCAGAGAGAGGGATGGCGAGTGGGCAGCTTCCTGGAGGAGGGGTCCCAGCCCCTCCCGACACCAGGCCCCCACGGAGGCCCAGGGCAGCCTGGCTGTGTCTTTGTGCCCCCGAACCCTGAACCCCACTTCAGGGCACCCCCAGGAACCGAGCAGGCTCCTCTCAGGGTCCAGCGTGGGTGACTGGACCCATCTTTTTATCTGTTTTCTGCACTGAGCGAATATTGCTCATGATTCTCTATAAAGTTTTTTTTTTTTAAAAAAAGAGGGACCACACGGCCTTGGGGCCCCCGCTCCCCGCGAGTCCAGGGTGGGTCCAAGGGGCCGCGGCTGCTGAGCAGGGCCGTGTTGCAGGTGCCTGTCGCCACAGGCGGGGACGCGGCCCCCGCGGTCGCAGCCAGGGCCTTCCGGGTGGTGTGTGACAACATGCTCCAGGGGCTGGCTCGCAGCCTCCGCTGTGTGGGCGCCGACGTGATCGTCCTGGGCAGCGGCGAGGACCACCGCCGAGCGGCCGAGGTGAGCATGGGTCTGCGCTGCCCAAGCCCGGCCGGTGTCCCTGCCGCAGGCCGGGGGTGCCCCATGGCCCACGGGGGCCGCTCGTTCTCGCTGTGAGAGAGCAGATCCCCCGACCGCGCCCTCTGCAGCGACCGAGAGAATCGGGGTCTCTCCTTCCAACCTGCGATCGTGACCCCTTCCCTGGGCTGCCTTTTGCTGCGTCACTGCTTTGGGTTTGGGGGCTCGGACCCATCTCAGGAGCACGTCCAAAGTGGGGCTTTTCTCTCCCATCCCCTTACTCTCAAGCCTGATACACAAGCCGGGGGTTTCTCCTCTCTTCCGTTTCCTGCTGCTTTGAGTGGCGCAGGGACCTTCCCCTCGGGGTGCCGGCCGACCTCCCTCGGGGCCGGGCCCCACGCGCCCTGGAGGAGCTCCGGGCGCCGCTCCCTGCATTTGCCCCTTGCCCAGTCTCCCTGGTCACGCTGGCATCTGCACCTTTCTCCGGGCGGTGTCAGAGGGCACGGCTGCCGGCCTCGGTGGAGCTCAGCCGCCCGCGCCTCCGCCTCCCAGACCTGCCCACTTAACGGGATCTTCCAGTCCCGGGATCCGGCGTTGCCGATCCTTTCTGATGCATTTTTCATGTCTATCTCATTAATTTCTATTCTTACCTTGTTTTGTTTGTTTTTAATCCCCACCTGAGGATATTTTTTTCATTGCTTTTCAGAGAGCGGAAGGGAGACAGAGAGAGAGAAACTCAGACGTGAGAGTCACGTCGATTGGCTGCCTCCCACACCTGCCCCCCGGGGCCTGCAACCCAGGTACCTGCCCGTGGCCAGAATCGAGCCTGGACCCTTCAGTCCGAGGCCAATGCTCTGACTGACCACTGAGCCACACCGGCCAGGGCTCTCTTCTTATCTTTACAGTTTCCTTCCTTTGCTCTCTGGGGGTGATTTCCAAGTGGGCGCTTAGCTCTTTAATTTTCAGCCTTTTAAATTTTATGATGTAAACATCCAAGGCCATAAATTTTTCTAGAAGTCCTGTTTTCACTGCATTCCACCCATTTGGTTTTGATATGTAGCATTTCCATTATTTTTTTTTTTTTAGTAAAATAATTTTTGAGAGTCTGTTATAATTACTTATTTGACTTAAGAGTTCTTTAGAAGGCTGCTTTTTAGTTTCAGAAAGTTTGCGGCTTGGGAGCTTTGTAGTTATCTTTTTAAAGCAATTTCTAACCTGAGTTGTGGTCAGGGAGCCTCTTCTGTATACTGGTCATGTGTCTGCTGCCAGTTTAGGCGTCTGTGGAGACTTGCTCTGTGGCCACGGGGTGAGCCTTTGTATAAATGTCCCACGTGGACTTTACTTTATTTACTTATTTTTGTTAATCTTCACCGAGGATATTTTTTCCATTTATTCTTTTTTTTTAAGAGAGTGGAAGGGAGGGAGGAGGGGAGGGGAGAGAGAGACACATGGGTGGTTGCCTCCCGCAGGCGCCCTGCCCGGGGCGGGCATCGTGCCTACAGCCCTTCCGGGCGCGGGCCAGTGCTGCAACCACTGGGCAACACCGGCCAGGGCAGGGCTGCCTCGGTTGTATTTTCAATTTTTTACTCATCACATAGGTGTGTATTTGCCATCACTAGAAATAATCGCTCGCTCCATTGCTTTTCTCTTCCTTTTTCGTGGTGAAATATACGTAACAAAATTGGTCATCTTAACCCTGTTTAAATGTTCGGTTCGTAGGCATCAAGTACATTCCCAATGTTGTGTAACTGTCGCCACTATTTCCAGAATTTCTTCATCGTCCCAGACGCAAACTGTGTCCCCATTAAACTCCTTCATCCCCCGTCTCAGGAACCACCCTCCTCCCGTCCTCTCCGCGAACTCGACTCCTCGCAGCACCTCACGCGAGTGGACCCCTAGAGTTTGTCCTCTGTGTCTAGCTTTTTTCACGGAGCGAATGTCCTCAGAGCCCACCCATGTTGTAGCCTGTGTCAGAATTCCCCTACGTCTACACAGCGTAAATTCCGTGTGTGCACGTGCGTGTGTGTGTAATGGGTGTGACTATCACTGTGGCTGTGTAATGGGTGTGACTATCACTGTGGCTGTGTAATGGGTGTGACTATCACTGTGGCTGTGTAATGGGTGTGACTATCACTGTGGCTGTGTAATGGGTGTGACTATCACTGTGGCTGTGTAATGGGTGTGACT